CAGGGTGGTGGGCGGGGGACCCTTTGCGAACGCTCCAGGCCGGCGCGCGCCGAGCCGGGGCAAGGCGCGGGGTCCCGGGTCCCGGCTGCGCACGTGCCGTTCCCACGTGGGCCCCGGCGGCCCGGGCTCGGCTGCCTGTCCCCTTCGTCCCCTCTCTTCGGGGTCACGGTCGCCGCGCTCCGCCGCGTGCGGTGGCCGTGCAGGGGCGTCCCCTTCTCCCTCGCCGTTAAACGGCCAGCAGGACTTGTTCCAGTTCCCAGAGCTGCTCCTGCCTGTTCGAAGGTGTGCCCACAGCCACTTTATGCCGGCTGCCCTGCCGGACGAATAAAGCCCCCAAGTCTTTGGACCGGCTCCTGGCGCCGCGCGGTGCCCCCAGCTCATGTTTAAATCCTCTGCAGAGGCCGCCGGTGCCAAACCCGCGGCGGGGTGCGCGCTGCCGGCCGCGCGCGCGGACGCAGCCAGTTTGCATCGGCACCGCAGTGGTTAAGTCACGTCCTAAGCCTAGTATTTCACAGACAATTAAATCCTGGCGGCTGCTTCACAAAACGGTAATATTTACGCTGCCCTACACCGAGGAGCGCGTTCAAACCAAGAAACAAACACTCCAATTTCCCAAAGAAAATATGATCATAAATCGCTTTTTATGGATTCTCTCTCTGCCTTAGTGGAAACAAGGTGATTTAAGATTCCCGACACCTCACTCCGCCTTCAGGCACAGCTGAAGATTTACAGATACTGGCTTTTAGCACGTAGTGTCCATCTCTTCCAGGAGCACCTGCATTTGGTACATTCAATTCAATTGCCCAGGGTACACACCCCATTCCGATAGCTATCACTGAAAATAACAAAGATGATCCAGTCCTTAAGTCTTGGGTGTGCAATGCACTTTGCAGATGAATTCGAGAAAGATGATCAGCACTTGAGTAATTATTTCACAATTGCTATCTAAATAACTGCGCATGTTCCTTTGAACTTCTGAAGGAGGTGGGAAAGTTGAGGCATATTTTTATGAGACTTAGATACATATGGGAATATACTTCTTTCATATTTAAAAATTTATAAGGCAGGGACCTATATTTGTTTGCTCTTGGCCATAAAATAAATTCAGAGTCATTTTGACCAATGCTCAATCTCTTCCACACTTAATTCTTTTTGAGTTTATAATGCCATTGGTTTGCTTCTTCTATTATCTAGATAATCATCTATTTCAGTCTCTTAGTTTCTAGTCTTATATAAAGCAAACCTCAGAAAATTGTGAATTGGCAAAAACACAGATTATTCCAACTTTATATAGATCTCCACGCCCGTGTATATTTCAGTCAGTTTTCTCTGTAACTGTTTAGTATTTCAAGAAATGGAAATCAGTAGTTAGAAATGATTTCATAAACATTCTCTCTTCACCTGCCCTGCCTCTCCGCCCCCCCAATTAGTCTGGCATTTTATTAAATGCACAAATTCTATGACTACTTCCTTTTTTGGGGGACTATGACTACTTTCTTGTGTGTTAATCTGTGTAGTATGAAAACTGTTAGAGTGCCTTCACCATAAATGCATTTTGCTACCCCACTCTCCAATGGGGGGTCTCAGATAATTATGAAGATTTTGATGCTAATCCCATGTTAAGTGAATAACTATGAAAATAACCTTCAAGTATTGCTATTCTCATATAAATGCCAACACATACAGTTGCGGAGAGGACATGATTACTTTTTATCTGACATTATCCTATAAGGATATGGCTACATGAATTTCTTTTAAAATTAAAGCGGTTTTCAATTACTTTTAACAGAGCTTTTCCAATGCAGCATTTTGAAATGCCCTGAAACCACAGTAACTTTCTACTGACAGATACATAAAATTTCTACACTATTAGTCATTAGCCTCTTTGCAAAGTCATTAAATAGGACAATATTAAAAAGTATCAAAATATAAAGAACAATCACTATGTTCTATGTATTCATTTAGGTAAGTCAATGTTATTAAAATTAAAAACATGTGCCTGGCATATAAATGCTTCTTTAGGAATTCTTTTTGGATACACAGTTATTATTTTTTAAACCAACTCAGATTTTCAAATACGGATTTTTTTACTCTAAACAGGCCTTGCATTGTTTTAAACAGTAGCTCCTGGAACAATACTGCTCTTAGTATTTTAGATTTTCAAACAACAATTGCAATTGGATAAATGCTTTCAGCTGGGAGCACTTTCCTAATACCTTTGTAGGTAATAGGATTCCCTATTTGTGCTGGGCGACAAACAGACAGTGCCCTGGACAGACTGCCTAAACTCTGAAGGACCTACCAGAAACTGGAGTTTTCCGACAAGATTGTGTCTCGTCTAAAAGAAAAATTTTGTTAAAATGCAACATCAGAGAAATATGCAAGTGATTTCTCTAATTACAGTTATCAAATGATGGCTTAAAGAAGAAGGCAAAAATAAGACAGGAGGAAAGCAAAAACACAAAGTCTGAAAAAGAAAGTTTGTGGGCAGCAGCTGCTCTGTGTATACATAGGAGGGTGGTGTGTTGGAGCGACATAACCAAATAATCCCCCCCTTCAAGTCAGTGGTTTAAAAAATCTATATGCATGAAGAATTTCAAAGATATATGTGGAAATTCATGTATATGGGAAGATCTTAGTTACTGTGATTTGAAATTATGACATTGTCCTATAAGGATATGGTGACCATTGTTATTTTGACGAGAGTAGTTTTTAATGGTTTGTAGAACAGACTTTCTTTCAGTGTAGCATTTTGAGATGTCCCCAAATCATAGCACTTTCAATGGATAGACACACGATTTGGTTAAAGTAAAAGATTTTTAAATTCACTATAACATTGTTCTTCTCAATGAGAGCATGATCTAACAGTTAGTGCTAAAAGGAATTGCATTTTTTTTCAAGCTGGGATAAACTAGAATATTAAAGTACACCTGTGTGAGTTGATAAACTCTGACTTTGTTGAGTAGAAAGTGAGAAAATATATTTTTTTTCACCAGGCAACTTTAGCTGTTATTAATCTGGGATAAATAAAACAGGAAACTGCCTCCTTATATTTCTAGTAATTCTTTCTGCCTTTTGCAAACATTATTAAGTTCTATGCATCTTGTGCTATTCAAGTAAAGATGATGTCAGTAATAAAATTACAGAATCTAATCAAGTGACTGTTTTTGCCTTATTATGAGATTTATATATTATGTTGGGCTGTTGAATTGTTTAGTTGTTTGAATGCTGATTT